GGCATACGTATTGTTTTAAATGTCAAGTAAAGTAGTCATAATGATAGTTTATAGTAAACTTTCTTATCCCTTTGTTATTATTAGATGTGTGGTATACCTCTTTTATCAAGCGAAAATAAACAGCAGCAGCAACAGCAGCAGCAACAGCAACAAAAGCAGTATCAGTTTTATGTTTATAATAATGCACCTTATTGTCAGTTAGATTATCATAAGCTAAACAAGTCATTATGTCATGGATGCTCTTTACCTATCGAAGGCTATTGTGCACAGACAGTTAACAATGGCTGGCGTTTTCATCCTGATTGTGTTCTTTATTTCTTTTTAAAAAAAAAATAATAGTAATAGTAACACTACTGCTACTACTACTACTACTTAATATGAATATTTCAATGAGTCTCTATTTTATATAATGTAACAAGGATGTACAATAAAAAAAAAGATGATTCAAACATGACGAAGGACTCGTTATTCATTACAGTCTTATCTTTGATCACAGTAGGAAGCGAGACATTGATAATAAAAGTCTTGTAGTTCATTATTTCCATACTTTTTACAAATGTAAACAAGCATCTTGAGACTTATCAAATACTAATTTTATTAATAAAGATAGGAAAGCGACTGAGGCGTCCTGTGATTTATGATAAGCTCAAGAATACCACAAATTAAAAGCTGTACAGAGTTCTAGTGTTAAAATAGTTTCAATCTAGAAAGAGACAAAAGAAGGTGAGATATTCCCTTTGTAATAAACTACTACCAAAAGCATTAAATTCTAGTTGTTCACTATTCCCCCTCCCCCCCCCAAGAAGAAAGGGAAAAGAAAAAAGGCTAGCTGTCCATTATTATTTTAATAGTAGCTGTGATAAAAAATGATTGTTTCGAATATCAATAAATTCAATTGCATTTGACTAAATAAGATCCGTTATTGTTATTTACGAACAGATGAATTGAAATAATTTTTATTTTTATATTTCATAAAAGACTTTGTCTTTAACATTCAATCTCATGTCATCAAAATACAACACATGTATCAACTTTATACAGTCAATTTAATGTATAAATAATGTAAAGGATACAGACAATCATGTTTATCTACAGAACTTTGAATAAAGTATTGTACCAAAACACAAAAAATATGTAAAGTCCCATAGACGTTATTTTATCAGAAAGTAATACGCATAGTTTAATAATAAAAAGGTTAGATTTATTTATATTGAATATTTTAGCATCATGATGAGACGTGGATTAATCTTTACGTTACTAAATGTGTCTACTGAAAAAAAGAAAAAAGACGTTTTGTGGAGAAAAAAGAAAGAAGGATTATAAATCTAAACAGTCACAACCCTTTTTTTCCTTTTTCTTTTTTTTAAATATGATGTTTTTTTTTAAACATAAGAAAACCATAAAGTCCGATTTTTTTTTTTAAAGAAAATAATATCAAGTATGAACACTAAAGATAATCAATCAATAGAAAGTTCAACACCTTCTGCAAAACGTTCTGCTGACAAACAAGATACAGATACAGAGGCAGAAAATGAAACAAAAGATTACATGACAAAAAAAGTTAAATTAGAAGGTAAACAAAAAAAAAACAATAATAATAATTAAAAATAATAATGTAATGGTATAAAAAGTGATAATGTGTCCATAACCTAATGTATAAATGGTAGAGCAAGTCACGACTGAAGACGATCCAGCACCAACAGGATCTTTAACTATTAATGATCAGTTATTCGATGATTATAATGAAGAATCGGATCAAGATTGGGCCTCAGCTGGTTTAAGTAATGATGAAAGTGACAGTGAGGCTAGTTTGATTGATCAAGGTATTTTGTCACACCCTGCATTTCATGTAGACGATGATAGCTTGGCTGATGTGGATGTCGATGGAACCGATGAAGAAAGTCAATTTCAACTTGGTAAATAATATACATATATATATGTGTGTGTGTGTATACATCTAATTATTTATTATTAGCTTGGGAGCCATATACGGATGAAGAAAAAGAACAACTACAAGAAGAAGCAAGAGAAAAGGGATTAATGAAGTTTATTGAAAAATATTTAATTCAACAATCAGTTCCTGTACCAAAAATGCTTGAAGTATTTAATATTTATATGGTAATGATTCTATGCCATTTTTATGCAGCATTTACTTATTTTTTTTTAATTATTATTATTATTATTATTATATTATAGCATCCAAAAGCAGCTGCGTTAGCTTCTGATATAGAACTACTCCCTATCTTAAAGAGTGTGATTACACGTTTCTTACGTAAAAGACGAAGACTAGAACACATTAATACATTAGAAGATGTAGCTAAGCTTTTTAAAGAAGCTCATAACATTATGATCGTAACAGGGGCTGGTGTCTCCGTTTCCTGTGGTATCCCAGACTTTCGGTCAGAAACAGGCATCTATTCAAGACTACAAGAATATGAGCTTGATGATCCACAACAAATGTTTGATATTGACTATTTTCGAGAATCACCAGAAATTTTTTATTCTTTTGCCAAAGAACTTTATCCCGCCAATTATCAACCTAGCCCTAGTCATCTCTTTGTTAAGCTGATAGAGGACAAGGGCAAATTGCTTAGAAATTATACTCAAAATATTGATACATTGGAACACAAGGCAAATATTAAACGTGTTGTAAACTGTCATGGTAGCTTTGCTACTGCAACCTGTGTAACTTGTGGATACAAAGTAGATGGTACAGAGATTGAATCCTATATTATGGCTCAACAAATACCTCCTTGTCCAAAATGTTCAAGCAAGAAATTAGAAAAAGAAGGTACAAAATCAACGAAAGGAAATAATAAGTCTAAAGAAGAAGAAGAAGATGATGATAATGATGACCAGCCTTACCATCATCAAAAGGGGGTTTCTATTATCAAGCCAGTATGTATTTTTCTTTAAAAAAAAAAGATATTTTTCTTTTGACTTTTTACTATTTTTAGGATATTACATTTTTCGGTGAACGTCTTCCAGCTGAATTTGATAATTTGCTTGCGATTGATACAGAACAAGTTGATTTACTAATTGTGATTGGGTTCATCGCTCAAAGTATCACCAGTATCTGAAATTATGTCTCAAAACCTCATAATGTGCCTCAAATCTTGATCACCGCACACCCATTACACACATGACTTTGATGTTCAATTATTAGGAGATTGTGATGTCATTGTACCTGAATTGTGTCGCATGTTAAATTGGGATCTTCGACATTCTAAATTACCAGGTGGAAGTGCTCTGAGTGTAGAAAGTCGAGAGTCTAGTGTAGATAAAGATGGAAATAAAGTTTGGAAGTATGTGAGAGATGGATTATATACGTTCCCGGGAGCTGTAACTGACCCACAATTTATAAATAATCAAAGGTAAGAGATAGGGAGAGTTGTACGAGATCGATATAAATTCATTATATGCATTTTTATGATTTAGATGTGACGAAAGAGGTAGTCTAAACAGTGATAGTGACGAAGAGGATACTACAAAAAAGAAGAATAATTTTTTTTTATTTTATTTTTTATTTTCTCTTTTTTTTTTTTATCTATATAGATTAATATAAATAATATAATATGATGTGTAAATAACATATATATTACTGATCATATATAAATAGTGTATAACTTTTGTTATAGTACATATTTCCAATAAGGATATAAAGAGAGAGTCAACATAATACTATTTTTACTACCATGGACAAAATAATAAATAAATAAATAATAAAAAAAAAAGAATACTAGTTTATAAATCTACACAAAATAATATATACTTTACATGTTACAAACAAACAAAAAAAATTGTTATATTTCTCTATCTATATGTATATTAAATGTCATGCGTCTTCTTTCGAATATCTCGACTTGCTTTAATCAAAGGTATTAATGACTTGATATTCTCTCCTCTTTTTAAGAATGGATGCTCTAATAAACTGCCTGCATCAGGCCTTTCCTGACTATCCACTGTTAAAGATTGCTTTAAAAAGTCTTTCAATAAATCAGATAATTCATCAGGATGCTGAAGAGAGGGTGTTCCATTCGTAGCAATCAAATAAAGCGCTCTTAATGGATTTTCATGTAAATAAGGAGGTTCTCCTTCAATCATTTCAATAACCATAATACCCAAGGACCAAATATCAATCTTCGGTCCATATTCCTTACGAGTCACTACTTCAGGAGCCATCTAAAGGAAGAAGAAGGAGATAAAATAGAACAGAATGAGTATATATATATTTATATACATGTCTATTTGTTTTCTTAGTTACCCAGTAAGGAGTCCCAACCATAGTCGTTCTTGTTTCAGAGTCATTTAATCTTGCACAGAAACCAAAATCAGCTAAATAGAAAGATAAATCAATAAAAAGGTCTTCAATTAGACTTGTACTTGTATAATAGTAACTAGGTTCTTTTTTTATCCCTTACTTAATTTAACATGCCCATTTAAACCTAATAAAACATTATCTGACTTGATATCTCGATGAATTATACCCAATGAATGTAAATGATAAATTCCTTCTAACGTCTCTCGACAAACAGTAGCAATTTGACTTTCTGTCATCATACTTGTCGTAACTACATCTGTTAAACTTCCTCCTTCCATGTATTCCATCACAACCCATAACTCATTATTATCCAAAAGGAATGAATCAATAAAGTTGACAATATTTTTATGTTGCGCCTCTCGCATGACTAAAATTTCGTTAATAATCACTTCCTTTCGAAGTTGTTGAGCTAAATTCATTTGTTTAATAGCCACTGACATATTTGTGTTCACTGATTGAGCTGTATACACTCCACCTGTTGCACTATATATATAACGAATCAATACATAGCTAACTATATCACAGATAGAATCATTTCATTACCCTTGACCAATTTTAACCATATTTCTATATAATTTTGTAGGATCCGCATCTGTACAAACAGAACGAAGATCAGCAAAATTTGTGCATCTTTAAGTGCTTCCTTCTGTTGTCTTTGTTCTCTTCGAAGTTGACGTGCTTTATCCTGTAAAGTATTATCTAAGGCTGGATCTAGTGGAGCTGCAGAAGATGCAATATAAACTGAAGAAGTGGCTCGAATTGGTGTAATTCCATTTGAAATAATAGGTGGTGTCAATGGTTTAGTTCTAGGAGGTGGTGTAGGTGTAGTAGTTGGGACAGAAGTGATTAATGTTGTATTATGGGCTGGTTTAGTTCTCAATGATATAGAAGGCTTTGTTGATAACGGAGGTTTCGGTGGAGGCACTTTATTTAATGATATATCTGGACGTGCTGGTATAGGTGGTGCTGTGGTGATAGATGGTATTGAAGAAGTGTTGACATTACTGCTCTTTGACTATTAAACAAAAAAAAAAAAAAGGGGGGGGGAGAGTTGTTCAGTAATAATAAAAAAAGAAACATTTCAATAATATAATGTAATAGCGTACAATAGTTGTTGGTGGTAAAATAGACTTATTTTCATTATCAGAATTCATGACTACTAACTGCGGTTTGGTTCTTTGCGGTAATGGCGGAGGTGTAGACCGAATAGGTAGTTTATAAGTTTTTGGATGAACATTATCAAATTTTTCCCAAACCATATCCAATGATTGTTCTTTAGAATCTTTATAAAATCCTAATATATCCAATACAGTCTATATAAAAAAAAAGAATAGATGATTTGGTATGGTTTATGTGGTGTATTATGACTTCACCTTTTTACCTGAGGATTCTGTTGCTGTTCTTTTTTGGTAATCCCACTTTGTTGAAGTAAAAGTTGCCATTCCCTTGGCATTCCTGTAAATTCTCCTGTGTCTGGATTAAAACCCACATGAGTAACATGAACCATATTATAAGGTGAAGATATTTTAGCTTTTCCATTCCCAGCATGTTGTAATCTACTACTACTACTACTACTACTACTATTATTTGTGCCATTTAAACTAGAGCTAGATAAAGTACTTGAAGGATTATTATTAATGCCTGGAGCAGTCCATAAATCTACATAAAAAGGTGATATTAGTATTTATTCACTTTTTTTTTTTTTTTGTTAATAAATAAGAAGACTCTACCGCTAACACTACCAACTACTTTCCCAAGCATAACTTTTAATGTTGACCCACTTTTTGAGCTGCAATAGGTGAAATAGAAGTTGTTATTGAAGAAGAGGATGACCCAGTATGTGAAGCACTTAATGGCTTTTTATGATTAGTATTTGTATTATTACTGTTATTAAATTGAGTTTTAGCGTGACTAAAAGTGGCATGTCTACTTAGAGGTCGCGGTGGAGCAGTAGGCGGTAAAGGAGGTGGTAGCAAATTATTGGAGTTATAATTAGGTATTGAAAAATGAGTCGATGAATTAGAAGGTGAAATATCCAGCCTATTGCTAACTGGTAGAGTAGGTTTTTTATTTGGTTTTGGTGGAAGTGGTGGTGGTACATTTTGACAATCTGTGTTATTTTTATTTCTTGTTATAGGAGTAGGTTTATTTAATGTTGAGGATTCATTGTCAGATTTACTATTGAACAATTTGATGTTGGCCGATACAATGCCAATAGCTGGTGAAGTGGGTGATGACATTATATGAATATATTTTTATAATAAAAACATTGGGATCTCTTTTTTTGTTATTATGAAAGAAAGAGAGAAAGAAAGAAAGAAAGGGTATAAATTTAGTGATTTTGATGAAAAGTTACTGGTTACTTTTAAGTGGTGGAAGTTCTTCTGTTGTACACGTTTGTCCGGTCGAGATGAGTGTATATTTATTTATTTTTGCGGAAATTGAATAATTACACTGACAGTTTTTGTTGTTTTCAATTTAAGCAATGAAGAGAAATAAACTTGTTTGTTTAGAAGACTATAAAAGAGATAAAAATGTATGTACGAATTTATAGAGGAAAGTTACTTAAAATGAGCAATATAAACATAGAGTTCGAAGTATGTATATCGTTAAACAAAAGTAACCGTTCAATTTACAATATGTATAGAATGAACTAACAAATAAACTATATCTATCTACAATTAAAAAAAAAAATTATATTTTGATTCTTATAAGCAAGGATTTTATATGATTATTAGTGAGAAAATAGAGGCATTTTTAACATAGATATTGCTATTGATTGTATAAATAGACCTGCAGACAAGTATAGTAAAGGCTAATAGTTGTATGTCTATTTTATTAGACTAAACTAGATTATAGGCTATGTAAGTTTTTATCCCAAAGTTAAACTATTATTCATCGTATAAGTTAAGTTAGATACACTGATTATACTTCTTCTTCATTAAACTTCCTTTCAATAACACAATTAATCCTTGTGCTTGTACATAATGAAGAAGAGATAGTTATTATAATTGCTGTGGATAATAACTCGAAATAAAAAAATGTCTATTTATTTAACTCTTTTGATCGACATAGTAGTGAATATTGTTGCTTATTTATTCATATACTGTATAATTGTATTTAATTGAATTTGTGCTTCCTTTTCATTAGAATTCAAGTACTCAATTTATCCTTGCCTCTTATAGCATCTATTAAAAGATAATACACTAAATGAGAACTTGGAAAGTTGTAAATCCTTCATGTAGAATGTCTCCAATGCTATAGTTTTAGGATGATTTAAATTCAAAAATTCTAGTTTGCTTTGTGTCGTTACTGAATGTAGTGAAAAGAGCTATATTAACTCGTTAAATATAATTAGTTTAGGTAGCATTAGCATATAACAAGACCGAAGAGTTCGACTTTGCTTTCACTATCGATTATATCAATCGCTATCCGTATACGCCAGTTAAACGAATTTAAATCCAAGAATATAACAAGCCTACTACTCAACCTACAATTCATCTTTAAAATACACTGTAATCCATATAAATATGTATATTTATATCACTACTTAATGAAATTGATTGAGCTTTATTATATTTGGTGTTAGGCAGCAGGATATGCTTGTAAATATTTAAAAGTTTTATCATTCGTCTTAGGCATATAACAAATAGTGATACATACAAAAGACCTTATTATTTACTATCAAAGAATAATTATATAATTTGAATAAGAATATTCATAATCCTATACCTTTGACTATTGAAGAATATCTACATAGACGTTATAAAGGATAGAAACAAGAAGCATATCATATAGGTTCTTTTACCTTTTTTTTTTCCTATTTCCTTTTTTTTTTTTTTTTTTTTTGGCTATTTGACAATTTAGCAGCTAACAGAACTTCTTTAGTTCGATAACCCACCGCCAATCACTTTTAAACTATTTAAATAAGAGTTGTGAAAAGCTATCAAATGTATTTTATATATTAATATTTATAAAATCTAAACTATTTTCTTTAAAATTCTCTTTTCTCTTTCTTTATTTATTCAATATAACCTATTCAGTATTAAATACGGCATTACAATAAGATACAACTACTTTATTATTATTTATTAATTATTAGCATGGAAGATACAAGAGAAATTGCAATCAGCAAACTTTCTGTATTATTAAACATCCAGACGACTTGAATTCAAAATTGGGTCCTTTAATACGAAAATTAACAAAAGAGAAAGCCTCTATTGATGCTCAATTAAATACAGGTGTTCAATCCCAACTGGATCATGTTCAAGAAGGATTAGAAACATTATCAATTTCAGATCGTAATATAAATCGTGTTAAAGAAAACATGCGAAACATTGATAAGCTATGTTATGCTGCTCAATCTATGATTAAAGACTTTCCTAAAATTAACATGGTATACTATAGAGTCTAAGCTTCCTTTTTTTTTATTTTTCCCTACGCTAAACCTTCAATCAAACTCTATTAGATATCCCAAGTCCATCAAAATTTTGTAGCAACGCAAGCAAAAGTTCAAGCATTTCAAGAATTGTATCAACAATTAGATAGCTTAGAAGAAACATTTGCACCTATGCAAAATGATATTTTTCATCCTCATGATGCTTTACTTCATCTCCATTATCATCTTTTTAAACTTGAAGAATTCCGTGACAAGACAATGCATCAGGCTCGTGATTCACCCCAAGATGTGAACATTACTCTAAGAACCTATTTCAGACGGGTTGATGTTCTCTCTGATGACTTTACACATCATCTTTGGCTATTGGCACGAAACTTGATCCCTTTAGTAGAGAACGGTTGTAGTTCAACTATAGTTAAACTTATTAAAATTATTGAATGTGAAGAAGCAGCTGATGAAAAGGCACTTGCTGCAAAACAGGCTCAATCGAATCATCAGGGACTTCAAGAAAGTGGAGCACATCGAAAATGGAGGCTAGCAGAGGGAAATCCACGTACAATTAAATCGTATCGAGTTGAATTTTTTGAACAACTTCATCAATCACTTAGAGAACGCTTTGAAGATGTATTTGCACCTTACAAGGAGAACAAAGATTACCATGGGGCTTTAGATTCAGCTGATTTTATTTTTTGATGAGCTGGAATTAGTGTTTGATCAAATTGTACCTCGATTCCCTAAAAAATATAAGATTTCCCTTATTTTGTTTTAGAGTATCATCGTCATACTTATGATCTTTTGAATGATATTGTGCAGCAAGATCTTGATGCAGGGACCATCTTGAGGTTATTACGATTTGTAAGAGATTATTATGCAACAATGAGCACTAGATTAGGTGTAACAGAAGAATTACTAGAACCTCAATTATTAGATGGTCAGGAACAGTCACTTGTGGATGAATATCTCAAGTTGGTTCGTAGAAAGCTTGTAGAATGGACTTCGAATTTAATGCAATCTGAGGCTAATAAGTTTGTTACCAGAGAGGATCCACCCGAGATATCTCCTGACGGTCAATTTGGTCTTTCAGGAGCAGTTGATTTATTCCAAATTATTAATCAACAAATCGATGTAGCTGCTGAGGCGAATCAGGGTAAACTACTTTATTTAGTTGTGAATGAATGTCATAAGGTGATGAAAGATTCTCAAGCGTTTTGGAAAAGACTTTTGATGTCAGAATTACAAAAGCAATTAGAGCAACCGAAGGACGTCCCTCTAGGTCTTGTAGAATATGTGATGGCCTTAGCAAATGATCAAATTAAATGCTCTGACTTTGCTAATGATATTTTAGCTCCGTGTACCACCTATTGTAGATGCCAACTACAAGACTCAAGTAGAAGATAAATTATCTACAGCTATTGATGGTTATCTTCAGATTGCAGCTAATGCACGTGAGGCCTTGTTAGAGATCACCTTTGCAGATATCAAATTTGTTTTCACAGAACTATTCACGACACAATGGTACGAACATCCACTGATGACAGCCGTTATTGAAACTCTTAAAGATTATTGCGACGATTTCAGTAGTCTAAACAAATACATCTTTGATAAGTTAATTCATGACATGTTAGATCGCTTCTTAATCCTTTACCTAGAGGCAATGCGACATAAACAAGCCAAATTCCAAACCAAGACGTGTCTAAAACTGATTGAGGATGATATTAAATTATCATTTAATTTCTTTGTTAAATACACTTCTGTGAAGGAAATGGAAGAACGCTTTGATGTAATTGAAAAAGTACATACATTATTGAAGAGTAATCGTCGTATGATTTTGTTGATTATTATACCTTACGTCAAGCCTATCCTGATGTACCTATTGCCTTTATTGAAACCATCTTGAGTAAGCGTGATGACTTGGATCGAGCTGCATTAAAGGATATTATGGAAGGCATTAAGGTAAAGGCACGTGAATATGAGCCTGATACAAATACCCACCTACAATATTCAGTAAAATTAAATGGTAATCATGTATACAACTGTAATATCATTAAATAAATACTTTTTTTTTTTGTAATACTATACACTTGATCGAACTAAATTGCTGAAACATGTCTCAATAACATTACGAGAAAAGAAAGAAAGAAAAAAGGCTATTCTATTATACAAATAAAAAGAGATTCGAGAATACACTGTCACTCTTTTTTTTATTATTATTAAGAAGCTCTTTCTACAATAATACTTCATATTGTTAAATTGAAATAACGTTTCTATGAGATTTGAATTACCGCACGACAAATTATGCGGACATTATTATCGCCTTACTTTAGTTGTAAATATGTGTATTTTTTTATTTTTTATTTTTATTTTTTTTTTTTCGACTCATAAGATTAAACTCACATAAATGAACATCCCAACCGAGTTAAAATACATAGCACCCTACATTCAAAGAAGCCAAGAATTAACTACTGTGGATCCTATTGTGTCATATTATGGTATTAGAGAAATGGGCGAGCTTTTTTTCTTTTTTTTCTTCCTAGATTTTCAAACTTAACTATTTCATTATAATGTATAGCTCAATATTATGCTGCTAAATTAGCCATTGCTCGTGGCCCTAGGACAAAAGAAACTAATCTTTTTTTATCTCTCTTTTCATTAGAAACAGTAAGCTTTATTTTCTTTTTCTTTTTTTTAGCATGATGACATTATTCAATACATGTATACTAATGACTGTTTAAAAGCAAAAAGCTACAATTGGTAACAATGAAGCAATTACTGATGACGTGGTTGGATATGCTCATGTAGAAAATTTGCATTAAAAATATTCCTTAAAGCTGATAATGAAGATCGTGCTGGTAAGGCAACCAAGTAAGTTGATTATATCAAATTATTCATTGTAAATAATAATAATATGTTTATATGAATATAGAAATACGGCAAAGACATTTGTAGCCGCTTCCGTATTTTTAGAGATCTTAAAGACATTCGGTGATATTGATCCTGAGGTAGGATAGATATTTAAAATGTGAAGCTGTTTAATAAACATGAAACATGATTTAAAATAGGTTGATGCTAAAATTAAATATGCAAAATGGAAAGCAACGGATATTATGAAAGCATTACGTGAAGTGTCGAGTACCTACACCAGGCCCTCCTGGTGGGTTAGATGAAAAAGATGATGAAGAGCCGACAATAGTGAGCCACCATCAATTTCTGATTTTCCTAGCCCACCTTCTAACTTTACAGCACCCCTTCCTTCTCTTCTATCTCTAATCATGAACCATTTCAACCATCATCAACATCAGCCTCAGTACATCCCCCAGCACCCATACTCGTTGCTCAACCACAACTTCCTCCTACTGCAACAACTAATCTTAATATTGCTGCAGCACAAAAGAATGCTAAATGGGCTATTAGCGCCTTAGATTATGATGATATCCAAACTGCCCGTACACAGTTATTACAGGCATTAAATCAAATTGGTTTTAATCAAGAAAATAATTTTGGTTATTAATAAACAAACAAACAAACACAGTAAGTTCTTTAAGTTGCTTTCCCAATGACTGTTTTACATAATTTGGATACGTTGCTTGACCATGCATCTAATGCTTCATACTTCATTGCATCAGTAGATCTTTACAAAAGACTATTAATAATTCCTTGCATGTATATATTTATATGAATATGTATCTATTTTTGATTTACCTTCGTCTAACACTAGTATATTATTTATTTGATCGATTTGTCCCAAAATCCTTTCATCCAAAATAAGTCCACTAAAAGTTCTTCTACATCGTCGACAGATATATTCAATTGCTTAAAAAAAAAGGAAATATTCAATATACATAGTCTACAGATAAAACAATCCCTTCACTTACTTTGGCTATGGTAGAAGCAATTTCTATACTTGTGTAAGGCTTAATTAACTTGATTAATACTTGAGTACGAATATTCTTTAATACATCATCAATATATATAAAAGGGTCACCCATGATTGCCTTTTGATTCACTTTTTTATCAAAATAAATAAATACATGTATAAATAAATAAAAATGTTAAATACTTATTAAGCTTTTATACAGCTTACCTTTTAGAATATGTTCAAATTCATTTATGTCTCTTTTTTGATAGGCACTCACTAAATTAGTCATTGCCTCAATTTCTTTATCGTTTTTATAAGGCTTAGTTTCTTGTGAATCAAATGGATTAATCTGTGATTCCGTTAACATATTAGCTAAAACATAATATCTTTGAGATAGAAACCCAAATAAATAAGTAAATAAGTATAGGCTTCTTTCTATATAACTTACTTTAATACTTGAATACGTTGTGGACTGCCTGCTTCATCATAGTTTTTAAATGATTCAAAAAAATCTGTTTGTGCATTATCCCATTGTTCTAAATAATAATAATATTCATATACAATTTACATGCTATGAACAATATTTATTTGCTTACTTTCACTCATGTGCATTTTACCACCACATTCTCGAATAACGCCCATAATACGAGGATGAGGGATGGCAGACTTAACTGAAAGACATTGTTGATATAAATCCTTTAACTTCTTATTGTTTTTTGTCTCTGTATACATTTGAATCTCTAACGCCAGTATCTCTAATAAATGTGTTCCCTTACGTTGATCATCTGTACCATCATCTCTTTGACAAGAAGAATGCAGTTCTTCAAGAATATTTATTCAGTCGTAATATTCTATTCTAGCTTTTCTTTGTCTTAACCCATAATTCTCATTTTTATTTTCTTTGAGTGATTCTAAAGTTGTCTCATAAAAGCTTTCCATAAAACTCATATTGTCAGTAGATGAAACATAATCAAGAATATTGTTAATACTCTTTTCGCTATAATTTCTTGTTACTGCTGATTTAACATAGGTTAATAATTCACGGTAATATTTCAAAGTCTTACAAAAGAAAGAAAAAAAAAAATCATTATGCATTATCAAGTTTTTTTTTTAAAAAAATTTCTCTTACATCGTCAAAATTATTCAGCTGAAAAGATATCTTCATTTAGAGCTTTAAAGCCCCTAATAGATAGCAAGCATGTATTTAAGTATTTTATATGTAATGCTATAAATATGATTTAAACATATTTATTTACCAATCGCCTTTTTGTTCTTCTGTATCAACTACACTTTGAAACTCTTCTAAGGCTTCTTTTAAATCATCCTCTTTCTTTGCTACAAAAAAAAAAATCAATAAATAAAAGGCATGGTTTAATATATCACCTGTTCATAACAACTATACAATCTACCTTTAGCATTATAATATTTATTTTCCAAGTCGACATCGGGTTCTTCCTCCTCATCATCATAATCAAAATCATAGTCCTATAATTAAAGACATTTATGTTTTTAGATTTAGTTTAATTAAGCTATATTTTATAGCTACCTCCTCTTCATCCTCAAGCATGAAATCGTCGTCGTCACTCATTTATATAATTGAATTTATACACAAAACAAAACAAAGCAAAACAAAAAGCTTGATTATGCTTGGCTTTTATTTTATTTTTATTTTTTTATTTTTTTTGTATTATTTTTTTCACGTCACTTATACAATGTAATATGTTTTAGTATTTTTTTTTTTTCTTTCTTTTTTTTTTAATAATCTTTTCGTCTTTTGATATTATCATGGTTACTGCTATGCAGTTGGACCAAAATAATCATTTTGAAGATACTCGAAGCACAACTTCAACTTTAGTCAGTGGAGAAAATAGAAATGAAGACGAAAGAAATAATACAAATCAAATTAGACATGGTTTTGACCAAAGAAACTTATGAAGAAGATATTATTCGCTTTTATATATTTTTCAGAAAAAAGACATGACACAAATGCTAATCCTGATCAACTTGTTCAAAATGCTTTAAAAGACTGGGTAATTTTAAATTTTTTTGAACATGTTGAGGCTTACTTGAACAGAATTAACTATTATGTATCATTTTATTCATTAGAGACTGAAAGAGAGAATAAAAACTGTATCAGGTTATATATAAATAGATGCATTTTTTTTTCCTTCATTTGGTCATGTATAACAGTTTCATTAATATCTATATATAGGCCTTTTAGTTGTTTGCCTTAATATCGGTACTGATCCACCAGATGTCGTCAAAACAAATCCTTGTGCAAAATTAGAATGTTGGATAGATCCTTTTCTACTTATTCCCCAAAAATCACTGGAAGCTATTGGAAAGAGTTTACATAATCAATATGAAACAATCAATGGACGTACACGATTTAAATTATCACTCGACCCCTCAGTAGAAGAAACAAAGAAAGTATGTTGTCAAATGCGACGAAATGCCAAAGAGGAACGTATCTTATTTCATTATAATGGTCATGGCGTCCAAAGCCTACCACCAGTGGCGAAATTTGGGTATTTAATAGAAACTATACACAGTATTATTCCAGTATCATTATTTGATTTGCAATCATGGTTAGGTTCACCTGTCATTTATGTCTGGGATTGTTCCGCTGCTGGTAATATCATTAACGCCTTTAATCGCTTTGCAGAACAAAGAGATATTGAGACTTTAAGGTTAGCGCAACACAACAACAACAACAACAACACAGCAGCAGCAGCAACAACAACAGCAACACAGCAACAACAGCACTCAAATAATCATGGAATAGTATCAGCAGCGCCTACACCATTACCGGTGCAGCAGGTATATTGGAAAGATAGTATTCAGCTTGCAGCTTGTGGTCCTAATGAGACATTACCTATGAACCCTGACCTACCTGCTGATGTATTTACAGCATGTTTAACAACACCTATTGAAATGTCATTAAGATGGGTTGTCATGAGGAATCCTTTATTAACTTCAAATATTACAATGGATATGGTACTACAATTACCAGGACGATCAACAGAGAGAACGTACACCATTAGGTGAACTTAATTGGATATTCACCGCTGTCACAGATACCATTGCTTGGTGTGTCCTACAAGACCAGCCAGAGCTTTTTAAACGACTCTTTCGACAAGATTTAACTGTAGCTTCTATGTTTAGAAATTATTTATTAGCAGAACGAATTATGCGATCTTACCAATGTACACCAATGTCGACACCTAAATTACCTGAAACACATGATCATCATCCATGTGGCAAGCTTGGGATTTAGCAGTTGACATGTGTCTTTTTCAATTACCCGCTTTGAAGGCAGCTGAAGCAGGTGGTCCTAGTTACGAATATCAATCCAGTACCTTTTTTTCAGAACAACTAACTGCCTTTGAAGTCTGGCTATCAGAGGGTGCTGTAAATCCCAAAATCCCTGAACAACTGCCCATTGTTCTACAAGTCTTGTTAAGTCAGTGCATAGATTACGTGCTTTAATCCTCTTGAGTCGTTTCTTGGACTTGGGTCCATGGCTGTAAATGCTGCTTTATCAGTGGGTATCTTCCCCTATGTGCTTAAACTCCTTCAAAGCCCTGCTGCAGAACTCAAACCAGTGTTAGTCTTTATTTGGGCACGTATCTTGGCTGTCGATCGATCATGTCAAAACGATCTCCTTAAAGATCATGGCTATGCCTATTTTATCAATATCTTAACACCTAACAACGCCATGCTCAGTATTCCTCACGTCTCTGAGCATCGTGCCATGAGTGCCTTTATTTTATCGGTATTTGTACTAATTTTAAAATGGGTCAACAGGCATGTCTAAGAGGTAACGTAATCAGTGCATGTCTAGCTCATGTGAACGATTCAGATCCACTCCTTCGTCAATGGATCTGTCTTTGTCTCGCTCAAGTCTGGAAGAATAACATAGAGGCCAAGACTGCTGCAATTTCTGAAAATGGTCATGAAAAATTATGCACACTTTTGAACGATCATGTGCCCGAGGTACGTGCCTCAGCTATGTATGCGCTAGGTACATTTTGGCAGATCCTAATAAAACAGAGCAAATCCTTAATATTGAACACCATATTGCAGTTTCAGCATTAACTGTCATGTCGGATGGATCTCCTATGGTTAGAAAGGAATTTGTAATTGCTCTTAGTCATATTGTAGATCAAGCAGGCACATCCAAGTTTTTGACAGCAGCAAGTCAAACAATTGAAGAAGAACAACGTTTGTTTGTAAATGAAGATCATGCACGCACCAAGAGCATGTTAAGAGGAGGACGTCAAGTGCCTGGCGCATTTGATGGTAATCACTTCTTTGGTAATAGTTCGTCTAGTAGTTATGATTCTGTTTATTCAGTGCTTTGGAAAGCTTTGTTGAATTTATCTGTCGATCCTCACCCTGACGTTGCTAAAGCGGCTTCGATTGTAGTGGATCACATAAATATGGCTTTGCTGAATACGCCTATGATTGGTGAATATGCTTCAAACCTTGCACGTGAAGCTATGATGGCGGCTCATCAGCAGCAACAACAGCAACAACAACAACAACAACAACAGCAGCAGCAGCAACAACATCAACAGGAAAATGCTATAAATGGTTTGGATCGATCTTATTCACTTCATTTAGGTGAGCATGACAAAGGCAATCATAAACGTCCTCCTAAATTAACACGATCTGTTTCATTTGCTTCGACATTACGAACTTTTTACAATTTTGGAAGCAATCAACATGAATCACCGACGAGCCTAACAGAACAATCAGCGAAAAATAGTCATCTAACTTCGAAACATGAAGTGAATCATGTAGAAGAAACAAGCCATACATTACCTCTTACATCTACTTTCTATGATTGGAGCTGTGAATACTTCACGGAACCACAGATGAGAGTAGCAGAAGCTGATGAACCAGGAAGTGTTATCTATACCCAACGTAAATGGCGACGAAGCCGGAATGAAAAAATTTTACAAGAATCAAGCATGATGACAAAGAACCTATCAGGACGTTGCTGGGAGGAACAGGTGAATACGATGTATAATGATACAGAGGCCAGTCTACTGTTATTACATCAATTTGAACCCCATTTAGTAGCTGCTGATCACCTAAATTGTTTAGTAGTTTGGGATTGGAAACAAGGAACGCCACTGAGTGTGATTGATAACCATAATCCATCTCAAAGTCGCATTACAGATCTAAAGTTTATTAATGAAGAGGATGAGGCTATATGATGGTAGGATCTGATGATGGTGTTATTCGTATCTATAAGAATTATGATGGTAGTGGAGAAACAAGAGCAAGCTATCTTAGTAAGCTCCTGGCGTCCTCTGAAAGATATGGAAAAGAGCAGTGCAAGACAAAGTGGACTAGTGACAGACTGGCATCAATCAAGAGGTTTATTATTTACGGGCGGAGATGGCACGTAAAATTAAAGTCTGGGATGTACATCAAGAATTACCGGTCATGGTATATAAAGATGCTATACAAATATTTATATATTCATATTCATATTCATATTCACACACACACATATATATATATGTATATGTATATGTATATGTTATGTATTATTTTCATGTAGGATATCTTTACACAATCGGAAGGGTGTGTGACAAGTATTACAGGCGATCAAGTGAATAGTAATATTATCATTGCAGGTTTTGGAGATGGATCTATTGGTGTTTATGATCGACGTCTAAGCTCAGATCAAGCGTAAGTAATTGATAGATGAATAGATAGATAACCATCTATACGATGTTTTGGTATTTAACGTTAGATAAATGATTAGACTTGTAAAGAAATGGAATGAACACAAAGCTTGGGTGACAGGTATACATTTACAAAGAGAAGGTAATCGGGAACTAGTTTCCGGTGGATTTGAAGGAGAAATTAAGATATGGGATATTCGTGAATCACGGTCAATAAAAACCTTTGAAGCGCATACACATCATGAGATGACAGCATTGGCAGTTCATGATCATGCTAACATTGTTGCAAGGTAATGGTATATGATAATATATAAAAAAAACCCCGATGTATTGAAATTTAATTATTATTATGGCAGTGCTGGTGATGATCAAGTTGTCAAGCTATGGAATATGAATGGAAATCGTTTATCAACACTACATCCATCCTCCAGATTCCTAGGACAAAAGTCTTCTTTTACTCGTACTTTAGCCTTCCATCCTAATTTAATGCTCATGGCTGCCAGTGGAAATGACGGTTATATAACTGTAAGTAGTTGTAGTTTTACCTGTAACATAGGAATTTGTTTCTAATTTATTTATTTTAGTTGTATGGAATACATTAAATATGCATAACGTTACATTTATTTAGATTGTTATATCATCAGCCTTTATACACACGATTTAAAATAAAAGCTTATGAATATAATGAATTTACATAGAGAACTCAACTTTATATCTAGATGACTTGCATTTGCTTCATTTACTTGTAACAATTTATAAACCTTCTTTAGAAGAAATTTGAATAAAAAAAAAGGGATACATTTCATCATCTTAAGGAACTAAACATGAAACATATTGTAATAATATACACATATTGATATGCATATAAATTACTCGTATTTAATAAGGATAGTTAAAAATACAAAAAATTTATTATTTTATACAAATAGTGAATAGTAATATCGAAAATTATATACACGCATATCACAAAAGATATTATACTAGATTGACAGTTATTTTAATAACGTAAAGACGATTAAAGTTATACGGTAATTTATGGTTTATCTGCTACTACTGCTGCTGCTGACCTTTTCAGTAAGGACGATGAAGTTGGAATTGGAGTCGTTGCGGTCATTGATATTTCTTCTTCTTTAAAATCGTGTCGTTGCATATCGCTACCCATCACTGACCTTAAACTAGCTTCTTTCACTGCCTTATTACGTTCAACCAAGTAATCTGAATAAGTCTTCCATAACTTTTTAGGAAATAAAATCACTCTTTTCACTCGTTTTAAAACATAAATTATGATCCAAATTAACAATGCAAAGCCTAAATGAAAAATAAAGTTAAAATATAAAATGCATATGTTAGTAGTAGTCTTTTACATGTAAGCAAGTAGGATAGTAATGCATATCCAGTTTCCAACCATGGGTTCTTGGCTCTCTTGGATAATATGGATTCGATATCCACTTCTAATTTCTTAAGCTTTAAGAAAATATATGTATATAAATGTTACTGCTTTGTTCTAAACAACAATATAAATATATAAAAGTTCAATATTTTTTTTCTTTACTGCAGAGTAATGGGATTCAGGAATATCCTTTATATAAAACTCCATTCGATTCTTAAAATCATCCATTTCTAACTGAACATCATTTACCAAGTCTTCTGTGTTTTTTAGAGATACTTTGAATTCATCTAAATCACCTTCAAGTGATCGAATAACTTGTCGTATTTCATCCAATCTATCATCAAAAGGATCGCATGTCTTGATAATAATATCAGTTGGATTTATATACATAGAATGACGGTGGTGATCGCTGCTGTATCGGTTACTGGATTCCTTATGTCGAAGTGTATTCTCGTTAGGACGAAGAATGATACCTGATGATGATGATGATTGATGACTAGATATAGAAGACGATGATGATAATAATGAATCAGAATCGTCATGATACTCAGGTACAATGGGGTGTATAATAGAATTAAGCCCAAATGAAGGATGAGAAGAAATTCGGGGTAATGTAGGACGTAACAAGCTATCATTCTCATTAGTTGTAGTGTTTTTTAAATGGAGTCGATCAAATAATTTTAATGATTCTAAGCTATTTATATGATCTTGTAAGAATTGCTACAGTAAAAAAAAAAAAAAAAAAAAAAAAAAAAGGAGCATAAGTTTTTTTTTTTTTTTGAAAGGATAAAGTACTTTACAGTTGAATCCTTTTTAAATATTTCCAAGTGATCTAATCTATTTTCAACATTCCTCAGGACTTCATTAAATTCTTCTTGTTCATCACTATAAAGTGTATTAATAAATAAAATCCCTCTTTTGTATTTCACACTCTGTCTATTACATATCAAACTCGTTTGCTTCAGTTATAATAGTGTCCTCATTAATAACATGAGTGTCGATTTTATTATTTTGACTAGATTTTGTGATATTCCCAAACAATGATACACGCAAATCAAGTAAAGGTCCGTTATCTAATAGATCATTGCTTGTAAGTTGAATTAACTTTGTAAATTCTACATTATCTGATCTTGTAGTTCTAATAATAGCTTTTTCGTTTTTTTTTCTGTAAGGAATACCGTAAATATCAAGTTTTATATACTAATTTACCTATATCTCGAATAGGATTGGATTCAAAATCAATTTCCTCGTCTCCTCCAATGAAATCTTGATAATCTACTGTTTCAATTGGTGGAATAACGCCTTCTTCATTATCATAATTTGTCTGCTCTTTAAAGTTGACCTTCATTCTCTTCCTTTCCATTTTCCCCTTTTTGTCGTATATATCAACTAAATTTTTTAACTCTGAAGGTAATGAAAAAAAGTCGAACATAAACACTTCTTCTTCTTCTTCTGATAAATAGTTCGGTTCTTGCCTTTCCTCTTTCAACTCATTCATATCAGTTTGTGGTTTCCAAGTTGATTTTAATTCTTCTCCTTCAATTAATGGCTGTTGAACACTACCAAATGAATGTCTTCTCTGTTTGACTCATCTTTATCTTTAACTTGTCCTACAAGTGATATATTCTTTTTCTTTAGCAAAATATCAGATGAGGGAGTAATGTTAACTGAATGAATACGTAAAAGGCCTGTCGATGATGATGAATGATGATTAAATAAAAATAGTTCAGAATGGTCTGTACGAGGATTCTTTTGATAAAATTCATCTGCTATTAATGCAGCTTCGGACTTTTTGTTATTCTCTTCGATTTCGTTAACAGCTACAGGTAGCCGAGAACGTCTTTTATCATGTTCTATTGGATTAGTTTGATCATTTGATTTACAAATATTAGAAGCCGCATGATTTGATGTTATCATATTATCAACGTTTTCTAAAAAAAATAAGTAAAAAAATAAAAAATAACCGTTTAGTTTTGTATCTGTAAGATTATGTATAATTTTGTATTTACTTGTATCTTTTGGTTTTTTGGTCTGAAGAGAATGAAGATTATGACGTTGATGACGTTTAGTTTTGGATTTTGATGTTGACTTGGAAGCTGGGTTTGTCAATTCAGGTAATCTTACTGTCATTTCTGTAAGTTTAAGAATATCCTCATCTGAGACAGTGCCCAAAACATCTAATATTTTCTTCACATGTTAAATAAAATTGTATTGTTTGAATGTTTTGAATTACCTTTTTGAGACATCTCAGAAGATAATAGTATATTAGATTTAGACATTGTTGGTTTATTTGAAGCATGTGCTGGATTCACCTGGACGTTAGATGATTCTAACCAACCTCGGGTATTACTGCTAAAGTCGTTTGCTTTAAAAGATAACGTTTCACCATTAGAAGAGTTATGGGTATATTGCTTTATTGCTAAAGCCTGGTTGCTGCTGGTTTTTTTGACTTGTTCTAAATCTTGAGTATTCGTCTTTCCTGCTTTCATCGTCATTGTGCATTTACAGAATATGGAAAAATAAAATAAAATAAAATAAAAGAGCAGTGATTAATAAATTTTTATTCCTATTTTTTAGATGACGATCTGTTGCATTTTTTTTTTTTTTTTTTTTTTTTTTTTTTAGATATTCCGCTCGGAAATAGATTATCCTTTTTATAAAACAAAATGGTAAGTTTATTTATTTATTTATTTATTTATTTTTGTTGTTGTTATTGTCAAATAGATTAGCTTTCTCCAAATGCCGACTGTTAGAAAAAGAAAGTTTAAAAAGACCTCATCCGAAACATTCATAAATCGTAATCGTGGCCGAGAACTTCCAGAGGACATTATGGCCGATGCTGCTAATACTATCTTCATACCTCCTTCAGAAACAAAATTTTATCGTCGAAAACGCTTTAACTTTATCATCGGTCTTTCGTTAGGGCTATTATTAGCTATGTTTGCTGCTACTACAACTCCTGCCGTGGAACAAACACAGAATCTCTTGACTAGTGTTCAAGACTATCTGATGCTTCAATTGGCTGACATAGATTTAGCTAATTTACTGCCACAATCAGAGTTAGTGGACGAATTTTTAAGTAACTTTACTCAGATAATTAAACCAATTCCAGCTACAGAAATTTCATTTATGCCAGCCCTTGAATATAAGTAAGTTATAACGAAATAAAGTTCTATATGTATAAAAAGCAATAGATTTTTATGCATATAAATATTTATATTCATATGAATATGTATGTGTGAATATATTAAATTTTTTATCTCGTTTTGTTATAGGGATGAACTTAACTTAAAACCACATTTTCCAGTTGTCATGATACCTGGTATTATTTCCACTGGTTTAGAAAGCTGGTCAACTGATAAAGTATCAAGGAAATATTTCCGAAAAAGAATGTGGGGTTCTATGTGTAAGTCTCCATGGTAATGGATAATAATTACTTGTATTAATAATCAACTTTTTTTTTGTGTATGTGTGTCTTATTTTTAGCAATGGTAAGATCTGTATTATTAGATAAAGAAGATTGGACGAATAATATAATGCTAGATCCAGTTACTGGTCTTGATCCACCTCATCGAAAAATTCGTGCAGTTCAAGGTGTTGAAGCTGCCGATTATTTTATTACAGGCTATTGGGTTTGGGCCAAAATTATTGAAAACCTGGCTACTATTGGCTATGATACTAACACTATGCATTTTGCATCTTACGACTGGCGTCTAGCCTTTGGTAATCTTGAGGTCCGTGATTATTACTTTTCACAACTCAAAGCTAAAATCGAATTATCAAAACAATTTACAGGGCTCGGATCTGTCATTATCACACATTCTATGGGTAAAAAAAAATACAATAGTTATATATGTATATAGGTTTATTACCGATTTATTTACTCTTTTTTTTTTGTTATAGGTGGGAGTATGTTTCCTTATTTTTTAAAATGGGTTGAAAGCGATCAAGGTGGAAAAGGGGGTCCAAATTGGGTGAATGACCATATTGAGTCCTTTGTTAATATCGCAGGCCCCCTGATGGGTGTTCCTAAAGCGGTTACTTCTCTTCTATCAGGTGAGACTCATGATACAATGGCATTAGGTAGCTTTGGAGCCTATATCCTCGAGAAATTCTTTTCTCGACGGGAAAGAGCAAAACTGATGCGTTCTTGGATGGAGGTTCATCTATGTTGCCTAAAGGTGGAACGACTATATGGGGGAACTCTACTTCTGCACCCGATGATCAAATTGATGAAAAATACGAATCATTTGGTAACATGATCTCCTTCGTTCCACGTCCAGAAGGCATAAACGAAAACACGACTGATACTCCTGACAGTGACGATGACGAGAGCATCCTTTATTACGAAATTATACTGTAGACGGTTCAATTAACTTACTACTGAAGAATACAGATGCCAACTTTAAAAAGCAATTATATGCTAACTATTCATTTGGTATTACAACGGATGAAGCACAGCTGTTGGAAAATGATGAGGATCCGAGAAAATGGTCAAATCCATTAGAGACAAGATTGCCGATAGCACCTAACATGAAAATTTTTGTTTATACGGTGTTGGTATACCTACTGAACGTAGCTATTATTATGCAGTAGCGGATGAATCAGTTGAAGAAGATTGTTTGCATCACAACTCGACTGTAAATGGATGCTCTCATGAAGAAAAATTTGAACATAATATAACAAATGCTTTTGAAAATAGGGCGGATGATTCACTTCCTATAAAAGCTGTACCCACAGAGTTGAAAACACCTAGATTGGTATATAATATTTACCAAATATAAAGACGTATATACTAATATACATGTGTGTATTTTAATCTATAGTACATTGATGCTAGTGTAAGTGATCCTGTTCAGCGAATCGAAACTGGTATTCGTTTTTCTGATGGGTAAAGTATACAGAAAAAAAATATGTATTCAATATAATTAAAACAAGCATCGTATATTATTATAGCGATGGTACTGTTCCTTTGTTATCATTGGGCTACATGTGCGCTCCTTCTGGAGGTTGGACAAAACATGCAAACCTTTATAACCCAGGCCGTAGTCCAGTTGTTCTTCGTGAATATGACAATAAAATAAGTCCTAGTAAACTTGATGTTCGTGGAGGATATAAGTCTGGTAATCATGTTGATATATTAGGAAATTGGGAAATGACAGTAAAGTATATTAGCCATAGTATATTATATATTTAGTGTGCTTATATTTTTTTTAGTTGGATATATTGCAAATTGTGTCTGGTTCTGGAGCCAATATTACTCAAAGGATTTATTCTTCTATTGAAGAATACGCAAAAAAGATACAACTACCTTCTTCCTCAGCATAAAAACAATTTTTTATTTTCGCATTTATACATGTATATCAAGCATAATTCAAAGTAAATTTGTAATCTTTAATGTTCATAAAAAAAAACAAAAATTGCATTCTATATTGTTAATCTCTAATCAAAATAATAATACGCTTTATTTTTATCTTTATTTTGATCTACTTCCTTTTATTTGTACATAATACATTTACATAAAATCTAATTTCAGCGTTATCATTACTTTAGAAAAACTTTGTTTAGGCTTTATTATTATTATTATTATTTCTACTAATCAAGTTTCAGCATTCTGTAATATTAAATTCAGAAGGTCGTATGCTTTTGATAAGTAGAATTTATTTGTTATATTCTCCTTGTTTATCAACAATGTTGGGTCTAACGAGAGGGGAGGTTACCCATTTGAATAAATAGAGCCATTATCGTCAAATTCATGTATTCCAAATTAAGATAAAAAAGTTAAAGTTACCAGTTCATTAAATAAAAAATTACTCAAGATACTTGTATACATTTGAATGTAATAAGATGCACAAGTAACATTACTTTTAATGGCAATAGTTGAATGTAGAACTTTTAAGGATAATAGTCATATTTAGATAATACTGCTAATAGACATAAAATAGCAGTCTGGGAGGTTCATGATTGATTATAACAAAAGATGAAATGAAAAAAAAAAGGAAAGAAATATACTTGTATAGAGATAGCTTAAATTATGGGCTAGCTTTGTAGGAAGTAGAAAACATGATCTTGAATCATCAAGTATAATGGCTTTGTTTACTAGCTTGTAATGTTATAAGACTTTTCGTCAAGAATAAGTTTATTAGGTTAATGAAAACAAAGATAAGGGAGAGAAGCAACAAATAAAGCCTATCAACAGCAGTTAAATAGTGTGTACTATACATAAATCCAAAAAAAAGGGATATTTTATTAAACAAAAGGCTGTATTATGATACTGTAGTAGGTAAGGCTGCATACACAAATTATTTACAAAATTATATGCATATTCTATAGGTAATTCTTGAGCCAATAGAACATTAAAGTCTCAAAATGCTCATTAACATTTGCATGTCGAAGCCCATGCTTTTCTGACGGATACACTTGCAAATAATGTGGCTTTTGAAGCTTCACTAATGCTTCTACCAAAACCTTTGTATTTTTAAAATGAACGTTTTCATCAATTAGTCCGTGGACAATCAGCAATCTATGTTCACTAAAGGTAAATAAAATAAAATTAGAAAAAAGAAGAAATCTCTTTATATATTGTACACTAATATACCTGTTGGGAAATTTTTCAACATAATTCATAATATTACTCTTTTCATAAGCAAATTTATTCTCTTCTGGAAACCCCATATAACGTTCCGTGTACGCTGCATCGTAGAGCTCCCAATCCGTCACTGGAGCACCTGCAATAGCCATTTTAAAAATATCCGAGTATTGTGCTATTGCCATCAAACTCAAATAGCCACCATAAGACCATCCAGTCACAGCTAATCGATTCAAGTCAATGACTGGTCTTTTTTTTCACCTGGAATAGCACCAAATTGAGTGTTATGCAAGAAATGTAACCCTTCTAGTTGATCCTTTAGTTCAACTATACCTAAACGGTGACGAATATGGGCTTCAAACTCCAAACCACGATCACTCGATCCTCGACTATCAATAATGACAACTGCAAAATCAAAATAGACAGATAATAGATAGCGTATCATACGTGGAAAACGAAATTCATTCACCACTAGTTGAGTTTTCGGCCCACCATATATATGTAATAAAGTTGGATAACTTTGTCCTGGCTGATAACATTTTGGTTTATATAGACACCCAAATAATTTTACTCCTACATACAAACAACGAAAATTTATATAGTTCTGACCTTTCAAGTTTTGTATTATTATTTATTTTATATAAATATATACCATCTGAGGTTGTAAATGAAAATATTTCTCCATTAGGCTCTACACTTTTATAATCCGATTCTACTTGTTGGTATTCATTAGCCATGTTAGTCCCTTGTGACATGGAAGGTGGAGGTGAAGGTGGAGTCTCACATTTGCTACTTATTGCAGCAGGCATTAATAAAGCAGCATACCTCTTTTCTACTTGTTGCTCGTGATGTAATTGATGAACTATAATAACTTGTGGATCATGTATTGTTGAGAAGCAATCTACAAAATAATCTGGAGAATTCATTGTTACTGTATGACTAAAACCTAACTGAGTTAATAGAATAGGTTGACCTTTGACTTTACTATCATAAGATAATTTATAAAAGTGAGATTCAAGTGGTGTATGCATTTTGGCTTGAAAGTAAACTAAAGCCCTAGATTCATCTACAAATAGAGGTCGATCTAAACAACACCATTCTCCGCTAGTTAATTGAGTTATTTTCGATTTTTGGTCTTGCCTTGATTTCTCCACAAGATACAAGTGTCGATAGCCATTGTCTTTCTCTGAACTCCAAATAAAACAAACCTGTTCTACTGTCGACTGTTTCATAAAGTAGTATGCATCGCTTATATTAACCCAATAAGGATTTGCTTCTTCCCATAATATTTCTATTTCATCCGTTACCTTAGCATCAATGTTAGTGACTGTAAATAATGCTAATGGTATTTTAATGACTGCAGTATGTGTTTGATCTCTTGAAAGTAACTGTAACCAAACACTTGAAAGGATAATTAAGTATACACAAAATAGAGCTTCTATACTTCTTTTACCTTTGTCCATCTGGCAACCAATCAAATCGAACAATGTACTCCATCCAAGCAAATTTAGCTTTAATATGATTTGCACCCCATAATTGTTTAATCACCTTATTCTTGATAGCAAGATCACCATATTGATTTACGACACAATCATCTAACTCAAATTCAACAACTTTTATATTACTTTTGCGTTGTCTTTACCAGCACGAGGGTATCGAATCATTGAACTTGTTCCGCTATGACTATTATTATTATGCGGTATCCAGATCTCTTCTACATCTAATTCCGAAGTTTCTAAATACAGAATCCTTTCTTGTCCTTGATGATCATTACGTGAAGGAGCCCATTGATAGCCTGATAATCGATGAAACTCTTCCTAACAGAATATACATGTATTTATATAAATATATGAGAGTCAGTTTGCATGTTATTCTAAAACAAAAAAAAATTATTTCCTAAACCTGCATCATGTATTCTGTTACACCACATTTTAGTGTAGGGTCTATAGCATTGTCTGTACTAAATGTAAGTTGTATTTCATGGCCATCAAAATCCATAACCCATATATCTCCTTCCTTTATGAAAGCAATCAGGTTATTACAACAACCTCCTAATTTTGGATCTAGGCGTGTTGATGTCGAGTTTTCTTCAACATGATGTTGTTGTGTAGAATTACCATGTGATTGAGACAATTGAGACTTATTAAGACTTTTATTTTTATTATACACGGATATATTTTGTGGTATTAATTTTGGTAACTAATTAAAAAAAGAAATGGATATTATGTTATAACGCATGCAGATTTCACTTCATTACCTTTCCTATTTTGGCAACAAATATGTCATCACGAAAAGTAAACAAGATGACATCTTCCTTAATTTCGAATTGAGTCATCCCTTGTATTTGCAATAGTTGATAAAAATAAGATGTGTCATCATTTTCTTTCTTGAAAAGCGAAGTATATTCTTTGAATATTAAAGATCTGTCTAATAAAGGAAGTTTATTTACTAACTTTAGGTATTCTTTTGTATTATTGTTTTTATTAGAGAAAATTGAATTTAAGGTTGACTCATCAATTGTTAACTGATCAACTAGAAAAAAATAAAATAAGAATTAAAGTGAGAACTTCATTTGACTTGTGAGTTATTTATATACTTTGGTCAAGATTAATTTCATATAAAAATAAATTTCGAGTGGGGCATAAATCAATGGTTGGATAACAGGTATTTGATAGAAAATATAATGTGTTATTATGTATAACAAAGTCCTTTACAGTGGCTAATACTTGTATAGGGTAAAGGCTTTGTAAATTATTTCGAAACTGTCTAACTTGATTTCTAATTTGCTCCCAAGAATGTTTCATTATTATTAAAGCGAAAAAAATAAAAAGACTTATTTATGCGTATTTCCCAATTAGTTATTAAACCACGGAAAATGAAACTTTTTTTTTTTTTTTTACTACCCCACTAAGAAGTGATAAATTAAGGAACAATTTTTTTTTTTTTTGTATAAATATAAAAAAAAAACTATAATATTTTTATGTTTATATTATACATGTATTTTATGTAAATTTTATTTTATGGATCGATTACAAACATTTTCTAGCCAATTCAATCCACAAATTTATGAAAGCAGCAATGTTCCTCCGTCTACAGATAAACTATTCTCATTCAGCGGCTTTCAAGCGGGCTTAATGACTAACAATGTCCAGCAATCTTCCTCTTCGCAGCAAAATCACTTTCCACCTCATCATCCCTTAGTATCTTCTCAGATTCAGCATCCATTCACATTACCACAGTCATCACAGTTTCAATCGTTATTTAGTAGCAGTAATATAATGGATACCATGTCGAACAATATGGATAATAATAATGGCAGATATGCGGGCATTTATACAAATACAGGGTTTGACATGTTATCCATCTTATCCCGAGTGGTTAATAGGTAGATTAATATATATACATGTGTATACGTATATGTATGTGTATATAATGTTTTTTTTTATAATATGTGCTGTTCTTATTCATTTTTTTTTATTTTAGATCAAATCCTCAAATTTATTTAGGGCCTATTGACCTATCATGTTCCTTTGTAGTAGTTGATGCAAAACAGTATGATTTTCCCCTAGTTTACTCTTCTCCAATGTTTGAACGATTGACAGGGTATGCAAGTCATGAAGTAATTGGTCAAAACTGTCGATTTCTTCAGGCACCAGATGGACAAGTAGCTATTGGATCAAGAAGGAAATATACAGATAATACCACAATTTATCATATCAAAACACATATGATACAGGGAAAAGAGTCACAATGTAGTATTATTAATTATAGAAAGACAGGACAGGTAAGAATAACTGCAGACCACACATACACATCAAAAAAAAAGAGGAAAATTTTTCATGTATAATTTGTTTTTATACATGTAGCCATTTGTCAACTTACTAACAGTAATACCAATCACTGCTTTTGATTCTTCGGATGAGATTGATTATTTTGTGGGACTACAAGTTGATTTAGTAGAACAACCAAATGCTATATTTCAAAGCATGAAAGGTCAATTTGTGAAAAAATTATATTTTACATGTATAATAATCATTATTTTAATTAGACGGCACATACATCGTCAATTACAGAAATTCAACTATTCCACCAAGTATTTTTAACTGTAAATAATAATCATTAAAAATAAGAGAGAAAAAAAAATTACTGAACTATTTTTTTTTTTGTTTTTTTTTTTTTTTAAAAAAAAAAAAAATAGATTGTCCTGATAAAAATAATACTGATAATATTGAAATTGAAGAATGGTATCGGCCAAACACCGATCAAAATCGTTTAACACCCCAACTTCTTTGCAATACCACTCAGCAAAATACAATATCAAGCAATATGGTAAACAGTGATATACCATCTTTCAATACTCAAAATAATCAATCACATGTTATAACCCCTAGTAAAGATTTAATAGAGTCTCCTATAATAGATATTGAGACACTTATCAAAGAAGCAAGTACAGGTGAGGGCAAATATCGAAAATATTGGCATGAATTACTCTTAGAAGAAGCCCCTGACTTTGTACATGTCTTAACTATAAAGGGTGTCTTTTTATTTTGTTCTGAATCCACAAAGGCTCTTCTTGAATATGACCCTTCAGAACTTGTTGGGAAATCCCTTAAATCTGTCTGTCATCCATCCGATATCACAACTGTCATGCGAGAACTTAAACAAGCCTCAACATCACAGCCGTCTACTCCCATTGTTAATCTTATTTATCGTATCCGACGCAAACATTCAGGTTATATTTGGTTCGAATGCTATGGAAAGCTGTGTAATGAAGACGGTAAAGGACGTAAATATGTTGTGATTTCAGGTCGTGAAAGACCTGTTTATCGATTATCACGTGCTGCTCTAGCATTAGGTAATAAAACACACAATCAGCAGCAAGGTGCGCATGATGGCACTGAAGATCATGAGTTTTGGGGTAAATTAAGTTTAGATGGCCTATTATTGTATATTAGTTGGACAAGTGCAAATATTTTGGATCACCACCTCAGGAGACAATTGGAATGTCACTTTATCAGTTGATGCGAAGTAATCGTACACAGATTTAACAAGAGCCTTGGCAGAGGTGAAGGAGGGTAAGATTGTCTATTTGAAACACGCGCTGTTGAATAATGAAGGCATGGAAGTTATGGTAGCTACCACATTTTATCCAGATGGGTTTACTAGTATAAATTCTGCTGCACAACCCACTTTTGTTTTAATGCAGACCAAAGCTATAGATTATGAAACAGCTTTGATGGATGATAAACCTGTCTTTATATCTTTGGATCCTGATATAAAAAAGAAAGGGAAAGCGGATGACAGAGAAGATCAACGCTCAAGTAGAGAGATCGAAGAGTTAGAGGTTTATAGAGATGCAAGCTGGCAATATGAACTGCATCAATTAAGGATTAGCAATAATAAGCTACGAGAGGAATTAAGCAGCTTGCTTCAAAAAAATGAGAAGGTGGAATCCATAAAAATAGAGTTTATTTTTCGATGTATGTAAACTCATTTATTTTTTTTTTATTCTTTCATTTTTTTTTTGTTTTTTTTTCTTAGGAAGGAAATGAAGAAATAGCTACATGTCATACATGTTTCCGTAGATTACCTGGCTTATCTGATGTAGCAGAATGTTCGCCAGATAAAATTTTATTATGTAATATTTGCTCACTCCGTGAGGCTTCTACAGCCTAAATTTATGTACAGAATTGCTTATTTTTAACAATTGCACAATAACCATTAAACTAAAGAATTTTATAATTTTATTTTATTTTTTTAAACAAAAAAAAAAAAAAGAGAGAGAGACGAAGCAAGTGAAAAAATGGAAGAGTTAAAAATGACCGAATTGAGAGACAAATAATCGGCCTGAAAGTTATAATAACTGGTATGAAGGGTTAAGAACTTGCCTTTATAAACTCCAGGTGCCTTTTAAGTTTTGAGTGCCATTAGAGTTTCTGGATTAGCCAGTTAATATGTACAAGAAGAATAGATAGTTTTTTAAAAGATTATAATTTTTTATAATAATAATTATTTTCATTTGTGCATGTCTTTCACGATTTATTTGACTTTATAATTTTTTTTAAACCATACAACAGCTTTATTAAAAAAAAATAGGAAAAAAACAAACTAAAATCAACTAAAAATCTCAAAGACCTCGTTCACTTGGCTTTCAATGGAAGTATTTGCTGAAACAATCGTGGGCATTAAAAGGACGGCTAGCTCTTCCAATTCTTTGTTTAGTGGGATATTGAATAAAATTGAAAGGCTGTCGTTATTCTCTTCATACAAGCCAAGGACTTTTGTAAGAATTTCTTTTCCCTTACCAGTTGCTTCTTTGATCCATTTAACGACGTTTTCCTTGTCAAGTTTAGCTTTGTTGCGACGTGTTAAAACTTCATCGACAATGGTACGAAAAATAGAAGCACAAGGACTACGGCCACGGTCAAATTCAGCTAAAGTGAAGAGCGAGAACGGGTGACAAGTATGATCATGGTTATTGGACCATGAGCACGGCAAGATGTGTATGTTGATGGTGAGTGAAATTGCGTACGCACCTGTCGTAATTCCATGAGATATGATGCCGATATCTGATACACATGTTGCTGATGGGTCTTCAATCAATACCTTTGCGGATTTTAATGAGTTAAGATCAATAAAAATCTTGCATGTTAGAGAGTCCTTGAACGTACAGAGTTGAAAATTAGAAGACATACCTCCAACAGACACAAGATTTCTTCCATCCAAGCGTATGCTTGATGTTACTAAAGCATTAGAAACCTGGGTGCCGATTATCAGTGTTTTCCCATCGCGTTGTTCCAACGAAACAGGCTAAACATTTGGATGCGCGATCTTTACTGGTGGGGGAAGAAGGTTGTGCGCACACCATTCTTAAGCTTCCCGAAGGGTTCACGATGCCAATCAACAGTTTTTGTTCTACCGTATATATAACAGTATTAACCATAACTGCCTGATTGTTGTTGTATTGAGAAGTATTGATCCAGCGAAGATGGTCGCAGAAAAAAATTTAACTTGCGGATGAAATTGCCAGTCTTTGTTCAGCAATTTACATATTTCATCCGTGAGAGGAACATACTCACATTGTGTCAATAGTGCAGAATAAGGAGAGGTAGCAAATAAATTTTTAAACCGACATCAATTTGTGAAGAACAACTGACACACAAAGTATTACCATGAGTGGCATGTTCATATGGTCTCCTTGTAGGGACAATAGGTTTAATGGAATCGTGTTTTAATACAAGTTTATTAATGATAGTGCTATGTACAAGCGCATTTTCCTCATTGCCTTGGTCGTCTAGAATTGCAAAAGGGCGAACTGACAAATTGTCAAGGATGAAGATAGTTTTGTTCTTGTCTTGTTCACTACCTTTTTGCTGACAAGCGTGGGTGATCGCCTCTTCATACGTTCGGAGCTTCTTCATAGGTCTGTCAATAATATGTTCTGCCGAGGGCATCTCCAACATCAAAGCAGGTTTAATAATGGGTAATGATTCACTGCATTCTGAGATACAATCCTCAGATGTAAAATCGTCATTATCCAAGTCTTCAGTAACTGTCTCCTTTCGCTTGACCAAATCAATATCATATCTTGTAGACCTTCGTCTGTGGAATAAGCTTTGTTTTCTTCATTATTGCTTTATTACCGTTACAAAAAAAAATGAAGGAGTTAGTCTCACAAAATAACGCAAAATGCGTAAATCAAGCTTACGTTTCTTTAATAAAGCTACCACATATTTCCTTCAAATGTGTAGCTTCAAGATGTTGTCCAAGTTGATCCAAGTCTTCCAACAAGTCATTGCAAGAAGGACAAGAGTACTTGGTAATAGTTGCATTTTTAATATCCTTGGTGA